AATGATGTAAATGCTTAGAATTTGAAATATTGAGGCAGCAGCACACCGGAGATGAAATCATGGTAAAGAAACGAGTGCTGCCTTATTACTGGCAAGTTGTCACTTATATGTACAAATAAATTTTGTGAGCTAAAAAAGTACAAAAGCACAGCGAGACAATGATGTGGTTCAACCTGTGGATTCGCTTCATTTATCATGCCATATGATGAAGCTTCCTTTGGTAAAACTGCCCAGATAAGAAAAAAGTTTGCTGTCCAATACAGCAACTACACAAAGTGTGCACGTGTATCTCGCAGTGCCTTTTCGTCACTTCCCAAATGCGCCACCGACATGCCCGGGCACCAACCGAATCTATCGCCTACAACTGCCATGTTGTCTCCTCGTGCTTGCACCCGTTTAGTTTTGCCTCACGATGCAAGTTTGAGAAATTATGAGCTGCTAGTGAGGCAAGTTGATTTAGTAGTCCACGCAGAGGGAGCAGAGCTTAGGGTGTTTCTTCGCTGAAAGTTATCACCTAAAATTGAGAACGCACATTGCGATTTTCCTAAAAGTACCAGCGTATTTGGCTGGTGCAGATTAACAAAAGCTACTTGAAGAAACTTTGCAATATTTGCATCTTCAGGTGCAACTTCATTACGGGTAAGTGCCATAGCCAAGTATTTACCTGCAAACAGATGTAGCTTACCAAGATACGGTACATACAAACTTGTCTGCAGTTAAAATCATGATGGCGAGGAAGGCGGTTAAAAACGTGATGGCGATCGCGGAGATTTGGTATTGCATTGAAACAAACTGTAAAGAATGGGAAACAATATTAGTTCACTTTGAAGTATAGCCGATCGGTTCAAGTTGGGCGTCAGGATTTTTTAATTAGTCAATTCTATACATGGTCTCTATCATGTTCAGTGACTCCAATGTACATTAGCGTACAACAAAAGCAAAATACAAAGTGAAAAGTGTGTTAAAGCATACGCGAAAAATAAAGTGATGACTGGCATTACCGCGGCACACACCACGCAAAGCCGCTATCTGCCTTGTATAATATTTTCCTCGACTATTTCCACAAATTGCAATCAAAGAGGCTCAAGCTCAACATCAGCACTGTTTAAAACACTTGGGGGGGGGGGGGGGCATTGCTACTTTGGTGGCGTGGGCCGCGACAATATATTCATAATATTATATCTGTTGTAAACTTGCCTAGCTCTGCACGACAACTTTTCGATGGGAGCTGCTGCGCTTCGCACATCCACTCTTAAAATTGCGGCACGAGAGATTTTGAGCTTTCACTTGTTTTTGGGCCAGGCAATTTGTAGTGAAAGCAAGATAATAGGCCCTCATAGGTTGTGGCGGGCAGCCGGTGTACGCCGTGGCTGGTGTATGTGTCGCACATCTTGATTGTCTGGTCTTGTATCGAGTGAACGAGCAAGGCCTTCCTGATCCAATGAGCTCGTTAAAGTAAGACAACAAAAACCACAATGCTTCCACATCGTTCACAGCAACAGATGACGAGCCCCCAACAGACCGCACTGCAGCACGTGAACTGCCGTAGGTACCCAGACAGTTACCCGGGCATGGCGGGAGAAGGCGACAACGGCAGAAGTGACATCAGAAGAACACTATGTATAAAGGGGACATTTAAAGACTTTTTTCCCATTTTTAAACTCCATGCACTATTCTGTCACAATTTATTGCTCAGAATAGTTGTATTTTGAAAAGGGCACTAATTCATAAGCCCAATGGTTCAAGGATGGGTGCATTTAGGTGGCCCATTCTACGTTTTACTTATGCCCTTCAACAACTTGCTTACAGGGCCAAAGTCCTGTTTCAGAAGGAACACGCTAGGGCATGGCAGCAGTCCGTCAAGCACTAGTGCTGGTGAGATTTGGAAATGCAGCGCATGCGCATCATCATCTGCTACTTCTCTGCTCATGCTCTCGGGGCTTACTTGCGAGGCACGGTCCTTCGCACTTTTCATTTTCACACTGTAAATCAACTGATAGCAACTCTGCCTTTCATTGTTTAATAAACCAATATTTCATGGTCACGAGGACGAGCTTAAAATGTTTGCTACATCAGACCTGAACAGCATTTTGAGTCATCGAAACTTGCCAGTTGCAGCGAGCATTATGCGAAAAATATGATGTGCTTTACGGTGACAACTTGCAAAACACTGCAGCAACGATTAAAATCATGCATTTTTTGTGCTCACGGGAAATCCCTGAAGCAGGAGGCACTGGGCTAGATAAATTTCGCAGCTAAAATACGGAATCGCTTTCCAATGCTGTCATGCGTACAGGCGGAGAAATGGCAGACAAAACTGGGCGCACCCCGATTCTATGCGCATGCGTCCCATTCACAAGCCTCACTGCCAGTTAGCACCACATGGCTCACTGTGCATGAGCTCGCTTGTTTCCTGTAACAGTGGACCATACGGTACACCTATTTAAAAACGAGGATAGAATGTATATAATGCAGCATATGATGAAGCCATGATGATGTGTTGCTGATGAAATTTGGAACTCTAGTTAGTACCCTTATTGTTAACCAGCCGACCGACTAGCAAAAAGATTTGCGACTGAAATGATGGCATCTACACCTGCCCTTAAAGGGACACTGAACAAAAATTTTGCCGCCGAGATTTTCAGCCAAAGTCAAAATTGGGCCATGAAATTCATAGACAATAATAGTTTCAAGCAGAAACTACGAAAAAATACTGAATTTAATGAGCATTTTACAAAATGCCGCGTCTAGCCCTTAGACACGGCGTTTTCTAAAAGTTCGCGACATTTACTTTTCAAGTTTTTTTTTGTTATTTAAGACAAATCTACGGTGCATTGTTCACAGAAAAAATTGCCTCGGTGAGATTTCTTTGCGAGCAGCTTACTAATTTTAAGGCAGGCGCGTTGATTCGTGAACTGAAGGATGCGAGTGATCGCTCTTGCCTGCTAGTGGCTAGGCGACAAAGGCTTCACCTCACGTCCTGGTGTAGCTAAGTCACGCATATGGAGCAGAAAATGTTCATTATCATTTACTTCACCTAAATATCATACGTATGTGACTTATTGCCGGCGACAGGTGATCACGATGAAGTCGACAAGCTGCAAATCTGAACAAGAATTCACTCGAATGAAAAACCAACCTATACTCACGTGCACGGTGAAGTCGAACACGTCGTCCGTCAATGTTGTCGCTGATGCCCGAAGAAAAAGAGAAGAGGACAAGCGACAGAGTCGTCTCTTTCTATACAGTTGGCGGAACGGCCACAACGGCCAACACAAAAGGTATCGGGTTCACATGCCTCCATCCGGGCATGCAGCTGCTACTGGTTCTACTACTATCCTCTTCCCGACATTGCAGTGTTGCTGATTGGGCACGGCGGCTCTGCCAGTATGGCGTCTAATCCGTTCGTATTCCTACTGCAGATGTTCGTGGGACCGGCGCTTCTCGGCACCGCTAGAAGCACCCAACTACATGGATTGCCCTGGATTGCACTAAACCATGACGTCACGAGCTGCCACGCGCTTTCAAATGCGACCTGCCACATGGATAATCTACAGTATCTGCCACTGCATCACCGGACCTCAACGTGCGCCGACCACTTGGCGCATCACTTCATACCAGCGCCACCACCCACAGAGCTTATAAATTGCCTACCCACCAGCACCGCAGCTATTGGGCACGGCGGCTCTGCCAGTATGGCGTCTAATTCGTTCGTCTTCCTACTGCAGGTAAGAAAAAATTACGGAAAATGCTATCGTTCAAGTGACCCGTTTTTGGTAGTGCTGCCGTGCCCATGGCTGTGTTGTTGTATCTATGAAACTGCAGTGTCTGTGCGAAAATTGCTCATGCTAGCCGGGGATATCGAATCAAACCCAGGCCCTGATTTAGCTGCCATTGCAAAGCAACTGCAAGCAATAGCGGCCGACATCAGAGACATTAAGGAAGAGCGGCTAGCTAACATTGACAAGAAATTAGATGGCCTGGCTATACTAGAAGTTAAAATAGAATCTTGCCAAACTCAGATTGATTCTATGAGTCGAGCCATTGTAGTTCTGGAAAAGAAAATGGATGACTTGGACAACCGTAGCCGGCGCAATAACTTGATTGTTTACGGTCTCTCAGAGGTTGACGGAGAAACAAGCGATACGTTAGCGGACACCGTGAACACGACTATAATGAATGAGATACTCGAGTTAGATAAGGTTGCCATAGAACGAATACACTGGTTAGGTGTCACAAACGACTCCAATTTTCGGAACATCCGCGGGCCCCATCTTCCAAGGAAGGGCGTTTTTGTGTTGGGGGATGACATCCGGCGAATATAACGACCCAGCGTGGCGCCGGCTCGTCTTCCCTGCGCCGGTACCGGAAGGGGCACCGGCGATCTAAACAAGGGAAATTACTCCCAGATGAGACGGGAGCACGTGTACGCCCCTGAGGCGGTTTGAACTGCATCGGAAGAGCAGTTGACGTACAGACAGCAACAAGTGCGGTCGTCGGTGTCGCGAGTCTCGCGTAGGCGGCGAGCACGGAGTTACCCGCGCAACGTATTGAGACGGCTGCAATTCCGGGCACCCTCGTCGTCTACCAAGCCGGCGAGACCTTCAGCGGCACCCGTCAACTCCCCTACGTGCACCAAGAGCTGGCCTGGTCCGTATGGAACTTTTTATTGTGACTTTTTGTTAAATCGTAAATTGTTTTAACCAGCCTTTTTTTTTTAAATATTTGTAGTGTGCGCTGCGTCGCACGTTTAAATTCTAAAGCGCCACCATGATCATTCTGTAATTAATTTCTAGTGTCTCTCTCCTTTGATTTCCATCTTGTTGTTATTTTATTAATGTTCCGCATATTCGTCTTTAGTCTGTATCTTTTGTAGTGTTTTTTTAGCATATTTTGTTATATAGCTGTTCTTTCCTTTGCGTATCAGTGTTACTCCTCTCTGTTATTTTTCTTAACTCCAGCCTTTGCCAGTGTTCCAATTAAATGCTTGTTTATGTGTAATCAAACTCAGTGTCTGCTCTATGAGTGCGTCGGTCAGGCCCACACAGCACCACACGTGCAACCCCGCACGGGTCGACCAACCCGCAAATAAATTCGAAATGTGCCACTTCGAGGCCTTTCAGGCGTCGCAGGCCGAAGCGTAAAGTGGAAGCCTGCGAGTCTGCCGCACGTCGATGTTGGATCGGCGGGGCCTCACCCGAAGTGTGTGACATTATCTGGCGTCCGCGCGACAGGACTGGCCGACCGCGTTGTGATGTCTGGGAGACAGACGTAACTCTGAGCGTGCAGTATGTAGACGTCCTTTTATTGCTTTGTTGGTTGACAACTGTTTATAGCAATGGACGACACGCAGTTTGATAAGCTTATTGAACAGGGCAAAGCCTTTGGCTTTGTAGGCAAGGAGTTATATAATTTCGTCGAAAAAGAACGAAATAGACTTAGAGAGGAGCGCGATGCCGAACGCATTAAGTACAGGCAACATCTGGAATTTTGATGGAACAGGAGCGAGAAAATTCAAGGCTTAGAATTCAAAAGGAAAAAGAGCGCTTGGGACTATGTGCGGCGCAGTCGGGTCTCAGCTTAGCCGCTAAAACGCCCGAAGGGTAGGGGGGTGAGGCAGGCGATTGTACCTGGTGCTCCGAGGAGCCAACCGCCACCACTCCATTCTTGTGTTCGAGGAGCGGAATGCATGGGGAAGGAGCGCATTATGCCTAGACGACGCGACGCGGGTGCAAAGCCCATTTCCGTAGAACGCGGTGTCGACGATGGCTTGCTGCCACGGGGCAAACTAGCGGGAAACAGACGTCGGGGTAGCGGCCGTCCACTGTTTTGTCTGCCCTGGTTGCTTCAAACGGTTCCTCCACGAGCACGGCCACCTCGAGCACGGGTGAAATTTGCGTACATCGACACTCAAAAGTAACCTTGAAGGCAAATGACTTCTTGTTTGAAACAATGTTCATTTCTGTTTTTCGATTTAGGAGCATTCCATGAATGGGGGGACTAATAGCTTAGTTATTCTTTTGGTTTGCTTGTGTCGTCTGTGCGTTTGTTGACATGTTCTGTTGTTCAAACTTACTACACGTTTAGTTAGGGAAGCTCTGTTTAAGGAAATTTTTATTTCATTCAGTTGAATTTTTTAAAAGAGACTGGTTGGGCATATAATCAGTCTATCACGGTACACATGTGTGATAATCATGGCGTTATGTGCATGTTCTTCACAACTTTCCTTGTAATTATCATTTGGAAATGATGTGCTTTAGTGTGCAGCAGGTTCATACAACTGCGTACAGGCGATCATGCCGATTTCTTTCTTATTCATCTTTTTCGAAAGCTGCGTGTCAATAAGTGACTTTTTAATACCGCTTAAAGCGTGTATTGTTTTTAATATGTGGCATCAAAGGATGCTTACGTGCCTTAGCTTGGAAATGTGCAGTATTTTTGTCATTGTCTTTTCATGTGTGTGGACATGACGTTGTGCGCGAGTTCTGACTTTCATCGTATAGTGACCGTGAAAGTGTGGTGTGTCGGGTGTTCTCTGCGGTGTCGTCCACGTCAGCGAAATGGTGTGCGCGAAAAAGAAAACTCATTGGTGGACAACCGGAACACGGCAGGCTCTCGAACATTGAGCGTTTGTGATTTCCTTGAACATTACGAAGTAATATTCTTAAGAAGGGGGCTATGTCACAAACGACTCCAATTTTCGGAACATCCGCGGGCCCCATCTTCCAAGGAAGGGCGTTTTTGTGTTGGGGGATGACATCCGGCGAATATAACGACCCAGCGTGGCGCCGGCTCGTCTTCCCTGCGCCGGTACCGGAAGGGGCACCGGCGATCTAAACAAGGGAAATTACTCCCAGATGAGACGGGAGCACGTGTACGCCCCTGAGGCGGTTTGAACTGCATCGGAAGAGCAGTTGACGTACAGACAGCAACAAGTGCGGTCGTCGGTGTCGCGAGTCTCGCGTAGGCGGCGAGCACGGAGTTACCCGCGCAACGTATTGAGACGGCTGCAATTCCGGGCACCCTCGTCGTCTACCAAGCCGGCGAGACCTTCAGCGGCACCCGTCAACTCCCCTACGTGCACCAAGAGCTGGCCTGGTCCGTATGGAACTTTTTATTGTGACTTTTTGTTAAATCGTAAATTGTTTTAACCAGCCTTTTTTTTTTTAAATATTTGTAGTGTGCGCTGCGTCGCACGTTTAAATTCTAAAGCGCCACCATGATCATTCTGTAATTAATTTCTAGTGTCTCTCTCCTTTGATTTCCATCTTGTTGTTATTTATTAATGTTCCGCATATTCGTCTTTAGTCTGTATCTTTTGTAGTGTTTTTTTAGCATATTTTGTTATATAGCTGTTCTTTCCTTTGCGTATCAGTGTTACTCCTCTCTGTTATTTTTCTTAACTCCAGCCTTTGCCAGTGTTCCAATTAAATGCTTGTTTATGTGTAATCAAACTCAGTGTCTGCTCTATGAGTGCGTCGGTCAGGCCCACACAGCACCACACGTGCAACCCCGCACGGGTCGACCAACCCGCAAATAAATTCGAAATGTGCCACTTCGAGGCCTTTCAGGCGTCGCAGGCCGAAGCGTAAAGTGGAAGCCTGCGAGTCTGCCGCACGTCGATGTTGGATCGGCGGGGCCTCACCCGAAGTGTGTGACATTAGGTAAACCTGCACCCAAAAAAACACGGCCAGTAATTTTTAGGCTGTTGGACTGGAGAGAGAAAACAGAAATTTTGAAAAGAGGATTCAAACTGAAAGGTACTTCGTTTGCTATCGGCGAAGACTTCTCGCCGAAAGTACGAGAAGTAAGAAAGAAGCTATGGGATAGTGCGAAGCCAAACCGTGAAAACAAAGAAAAGGTTACCCTTTCATTTGACAAATTGTACATTGACAAGCGCGCATTCGTTTGGAGCGATGAAATGAGCGACAAGATACCGATGAAAAAAAAAACTACCAAAATGCAAGCAAAGGTCCAATGAAAGAAACCAAGCAAAAAGAAATCTTGAGCAAGCCGACGACTCAAAACAGCGCGCTGTTAAAGAGCTAACCTTGCTGAACATAAATGCCCGGAGTATACTAAACAAGATAGAACAACTCGAGCATATCTTACTTGATTATGATCCTGACCTTGTGGCTATAATGGAGACATGGCTTTCCCCAGACGTATCCAGCCATGAAATAGCTCCCCCAAACTACTCAGTTATCAGGAAAGATAGGCCAACTCGAGGCGGAGGGGTAGCTTTATTAATT